CATCAGTAGGGATGATAGTTGCATTCTCGGATTGGAATCGCAAACGCCCCTTGGACGAAGTGACCACAGCGTTCTTGTTGGGAGTATAGTCACTTTTCTGTACCCGAAATTCAAGATGCTGAGGAAAGAAATGTATGGAAAGGGGATTACCCCCGAAATGAAAAATCTACTACAGTAGGTGAATTAGAATGCAACACAAGGACCTGACCCAGAAAGCGATTGGTCCTTCTTCAAGAACGTAATGCAGCACATGTTAGAGAGCCGTTGCCCACTTAGGAGGAAAACGCGCGCTTCCCGACCAGAGCGGGTGACGTCAGAAATAAAGAAGAACCTTAAATTAAAAAGGACACTCTGGAAAAAGTACGCCAGATGTCAACAACCAGAACATTAAGCTGACTTCAAAAAAAAAAACAACAGAGAAATTTATGTCGGAACCTGTTGAGGGAACGGGCACAATTTGAGTCAAAACTTTTAAAAAATATCCCGCAAGATTCCAACAATTTTTTGAATGCGGGAGTAAGGCGAAATACAAAGGGACTGCATTCCCTGTCTAAAAGATCACCGGAGAAATACGATGTCTGACAATTCAGATAAGGCGAACCTGTTGTCCGACTTCTTCACGTCTGCGTATACCGAGGAGCCGGCTCTCGATGAAAGAGTTTACCCCCAATTGCCAAATCAAACAGACAATTAGTACGGTGGACTTCACAACAGACACGGTAAGGAAAACTTTGAGTCAAATGCAGCCCACTAAATCCCCTGGTCCGAACGGCGTGTTCGCAAAAGTCCAGAATGAACTCTCAGACCAACTGGCTTCTCCGTTATCCAGGATCTTCAGAACTTCGATGGAGACCGGGGCTTTGCCTACCGACTGGAAGAAAGCAAATATAAGCCCCATATATAAAGGTGGCAAGAGAACAGCCCAAAATAGTTTCAGAACGGTGAGTCTCACAAGCATTTGTTGCAAGTTGATGGAAAAAGTAATAAAAACGGAGCTGATGCGGCACCTCGAAGAAAACAACTTGCTCAATTTACATCAGCATTGAGTTCGAAGTGGTCAATACTGTCTCACCAACCTCCTAGTATCCAC